GTGTATGTGTGTATTTTCTCTCCCTCTCTGACTCCCTCCCTCTGTCTTGCTCTCTCTTCTTTGCAGTAGTGCTGGGGATCAAACCCAGTGACTCACACATGCTAAGTAAGTGCTCTACCTCTGAGCTACACCTCCAGCCCTATGTATTTTTATTTTTGATGGCACCCACTCCTGTCTGAAATCATCTTGCAGACTACTTCCTTCATTCAGTGACTATTAACACAGTTCCTGTTAGGTGAAGGCACTGGTCTAGGCACCAGGCACACAGCAACCAACAGAACAGGCAGCCCTTGCTCTCATGGGGCTTCTGGTCTTGCTTCCTTCATACCATCTGACCCACAAAGGAACAGAAGCTTCAAGGGGAGTAGGGATCTTGTCTGTGTCCCTGTGGCATCATGTGGTACTTCCTGGGAGTAACTTATTCCCAGTGCATGCTCCCCCCCCCAAAAAAAAAGAAAAGCAAAACACAGAAATCCCCAACTTCTTCCCTAGGAACTCTTTATGATAGCTTGCTTTTCCTCCCTCCCTCCCTCCCTCCCTTCCTTCCTTCCTTCCTTCCTTCCAACAACCCAGGACAGCTGTGAATGAGACTATTGGAAGCACATCCTTGGAGATCACCCCTGAAGAAGAGTAGTTAGGCTGGGTGGAAAAGTGGGGGGTATAGGTGGAGAAGGGACATGATGTGACACTGAGCAAGTATGTAGACCTGGGGGAGTGTGACATCTCAGAGAAAGTTCAGATCAGAGAGCTGGAGTAGAGTCCATCAGCCATAAATCCATGCAACAGATGGGGAGTAGAAGAGACCTCAGAAGGTAAGAGGGAGTTGCTAGGTAAAGGAGAGGTATCCCACTTAGCTAATAGAGGTGTGACCTGGAAAAGGGATGAGGTGAGACCCCTTCTAGAGAAAGTTGTCAGTCAGCTGTCCTGAAAAGAGGGAACCTATGCTGGGTAGATGTCTCATCTTTACCCCACAAAAATATGACACTAGTTGACCATCTAAAACTTCCTCTAAATGAGGAAAGAGAGGAGTAGATCCAGGAAATCTGTGTCCCCTCTTCCTCCACTTCTCCCTGCAGGTCCTCATCTCCAGGAAGCCTTGGGGGCAACTTCTCTGCCCTACTGACCTGCTTCTGAGTTTACCCTTAGTACCCAGCACAGAGTGGGCATCCAGAATGTGGGCTGAGAGAGAGTGGATGTGGAGGAGGGAAGGGCAACACTGAGCTGATAGGTATTGTGACTGATGGGTGACATCACTGCCTGACTCCAGACCTTTTTGCTGTACCCCTCATACCTATTATTACCCTGTCCTGATAACCTCCCACACAACTAGCTTCTCCTTCTTGTTCTACCCTTGTAGTGAGAGGTCCCCAACATCTGCTCAGCCGCAGAGGCTGGGAGGGTCAGGTGGGACATGTTTGACCCAGAAGGGAAGCTCTTTAGAGACTTGAGTCTCCCCTCCCTGCCTTCCCATTCCCTTCAGGCATTTAGCTCAGGTCTTTGGGGGCTCCTCTAGGGCTATCTACAGAGTGCTGAGTGTGTAGGGGAAGGACTGGGCACATTCCTTGTCCCCACCAAGCACTTGCCATCCCCTCTGAAGCACCATCCGTTTTCCTCTCCCCTTGATTCCCACTCAGAACCCCTTACAGTGGTGCCCAGGCCCTTGGCCACTGGCTTATGCTTTATTCTCACCATCAATCCCCCGCCGATGAAGCCGGCCATGAGAAAGACTTGCAAGCTGAGTTGGTTAGTGCTCCAGGTCTTCCCATCAGGCACCAATAGGAGAGCATTGGCCACAATACAGACTAGGGAAAGAGATATTAGAGAGAGCCCCACACAGCGGGAACACTTCCCCGTGCACATGGCGGGCAGTGAGTGAAAGTGAGCTGGAGGTTCCTGGGTCCAAAGGAAAACAGGCTGGAGCGTGAGCAAAGGTCAGAGAAGAGGTGTGGTAGAAACTGGCAGGATTAGGATGATAAGGGAGAGAGGCCCCGAGGTGGTGGAGGCTTTGGGGCTGCAGCTGGTGAGATGACGGGGAGAAGGCAGTGATGGAGCAGTTGGGGGAAGTAGTCACACCTTTGGAAGTTGCCTGGCATCAGTTTCTTCTATTTCTGAGCACACCTCTCCATAGTCCTTTCTTTGATTCCTTAACCTGTTTGAAGACTTGACCAAGCCATCTCATGTCTTTAAGTCACAATTGCCTCATCTCTATAAAGGGTAGAGTGATATACCACTTTTCTCCTGAGCAGGCTGTAAGGATTCCTTAGGACAAGGGAGGTATTTTGTAAACTAGGCAGCACAAGAAGGTGTACAGTAGCCTCATCATTTCCATCTGTCACACGGTCAGTGTTCCTCCTAGAAAGAAATGAAAAAGATGATAGGCTTCAGTTGTCTTTTTATTTCATATTTTTTACATTTGTTTTTTGATCCCGTCTCCTTTTGCGACTACTACCTATTTCTCAGGTGAACTTGATATTGAGGCCTGATTTGTTAGTGTTGCAGGAAACAGACTGATGGAGAAGCAGCAAGCAGCACTGGGAGTCAAGGAGAACTCCAAACTTTTTTTTTACGCCAGTGCACCCAGAGGAAAACAAATTCTGAGCCCTGGTCCACAGGTTTTTTGTTTTTGTTTTTGTTTTTGTTTTGATCCACAGTTTTTTTTTTTTTAAACAGCATTATTATTCTGGTTATTCGGCATCATTTTAGACCCCCTCCTATCTTTGGGACTTTTTTCCTCTTTTAAAAAACATTTCCTTGGGGCTGGGGATGTGGCTCAAGCGGTAGTGCGCTCGCCTGGCACGCACGGGGTACTGGGTTCGATCCTCAGCACCACATAAAAATAAAATAAAGATGTTGTGTCCACCAAAAACTAAAAAATAAGTATTAAAAAAATTCTCTCTCTCTCTCTCTTAAAACAAAAACAAAAACAAAAAACAAAAAATTCCTAATCTATGTGGCTGAAGGCGTGTACAGGGTCTCTAACATCAAGCATGGTTACAGAAACAGATTAGAAGAAATGGCTCTTTTCACAGGTATCTGCTATATTTCAAGAGGAAGTAGTAGGACTTCCAGGACAATTATTTACAATCCAAAAGGTTTTGGCCCCTGGTTAATTAGGCTTCCTGGAGAAATGCTGAGAGAGGGGAGAGGAACTGACCCTTTCCCCAGGCATTGGTTTCTGACCGTAATGTTTTCATAATCTCATTTCACAACCAGGTCTGGTTTTGCCATCACATTAGAACATTCCATCCTCTGGCCTCAATGTTTGACTCAATGATTGCTGTACAATCCAAGCCAGTTCTGTGAAGAATCCATCTTTAAATTTATTTGTGGTGGTGTTCAAAGAAATTGTTTTTTGTTGTTGTTGTTGTTGTGTTTTTTTTGAGGCACTAAGGTTGCTGGTGGCCTGTTTTCACCATGAGGAAGGGCCTGCCTGTTTGCACAGGAAGTCAATCCAGAGGAGAGAACAATTGAGAGGTAGAGTGAGGTGTAATTACTTCATTTGAATCTGCAGACCAGCCATGTCTGAAGCCTGATCACTCCTTGAAACCATTTTTTTTTCCTTTTTTCTTTTTGTACTGGGGATTGAACTAAGGGGTGCTTAACCACTGAACCACATCTCTAGTCCTTTTTTTTTTTTTTAGTTATACATGAACATAATATCTTTATTTTGTTTATTTATTTTTATGTGGTGCTGAGGATAGAACCCAGGGTCTCACACTTGCAAAACGAGTGCTCTACCGCTGAGCCACAACCCCAGCCCGCCCCCCCTTTTTTGTATTTTATTTAGAGATAGCATCTTCCCGAGTTGCTTATAGCCTAGCTAAGTTGCAAAGGCTGACTTTGAACTCACCATCCTCATGCCTGAGCCACTGGAATTATAGGCGTGAGCCACTGTGCCTGGCAGTCCTTGGAACCTTTTGATGATATGAACCGGTTTGGGTTGTGTTTATGTCAGCTACAATGTAAAGAATAGTTTTTGATACAGAGATTTAATTCATCAAACCTTGGATTCATTCAGGCCTGTGGTAGACATATGGGGATTCTCAGTTTAGGACCGAGACCCAGCTTAGTCTCAGACACAAATAGGAATGTGCAGCCCCCACAGAATTAGCCTACACCTAAGTAGGAAATGGTAGTGCCCATGGAAAAAATGAGCATAGCATTAAGCACCACAGAACTTCATAGGGCATGCATTAAAAAGCGGTACCACAAGGAAAGTGGGAGCCAGTTGGGGACTTTTGATATAGCTTCTCCCAAAGGCCCACTCAAAACACTAGAGAGACATGAATGGTGGAGAAACTTACTGCTAACCTGTATACCAGAATCTAAGGGGAATCCTTGCTGTTTGTAAGACAGAGAAGCTGGGTGGGGGGAAAAGCTATGAAGAATTGTCCTCTTGAATGAGAGGACGCCTGAAAAAAGAAAATACTTTGAACTTTCCCCAACAGGTTGCCTCTGACTCATAGGCAATTATTGTGGTAACTGATATTTGGATTTGCTTATGTTGGCTTGTTTAATGCTTTTAAAATATTTCCATGCTGCTTCTGATATCTTCTGTTCTATTTCTTTAAAGTTTTTACTTTCTCCTGTGTTTTAGAAGACCTATTTAAAATCTGAATAGCAGTTATTTTTATTTATTATTATTATCTCTTGTGAGTGTGTATATGTGTATGTGTGTGTATGTGTGTGTGTGTGTGTGTGTGTTGCTGAGGATTGAACCCAGCTAGGTAAGTGCTCTACTATGGAGCTATATCCCCAACCCCAGTGGTTACTTTTAAATATTGCAAACAGTGTCCTTTAACTTGCCTCTCCCTGAGAAACTTCAGACTCTCATTCCACAGCCTCCTTTGAGGGGTTCTATACAGATGTTTCACCATGCCTAGAGCCATATGATCATGTGATCTATAGTAAAAATGGAACTGTTCATTGCAAGTCCTCCAACTTCCCTGTATCCATGTCCTTTGCTAAAAAATTTAGTTGTTCCCCTGCCCACTGTCAACTCAGAAAGAGGAAGAATATACCTCCCACCATATGGGCAGAAAGTAGAGTAGGCATAATCAACAAGATACTGGTTTTGAGCCTAGGCCTGAAGAGGTATTATGTGTTGCCACTTGCCACTATCATGGCCATGAGAAGAACATACCTGAGTTAACCCACTGATAAAAACAAAGTGCAAGATTCAAGGAAAGGTCCAGGTTGGATCCCAGCCAAGATCAGCCCACCTCCAACCAATCCATGCACAGGTAAGTGAAATAAATGCTTATATTTGTATACTACTAAGACCTGGGAGTTTTCTTTATACAGCAATAGCTGCCTAGCACAAACCTGATTATACAGGCCACAGCTGACTGCATCACAAACTAATAGCTGATCCACAGACAGGCAAGCATGTAGCCAGAGACTTATGAGATTGCTGAAGGTGAGAGCCCTGCTGAACAGAGGTACCCTGTCTGCATGATCACGAGTACGTGTGGACCATCCTGCCAAATGCAATTAATTTTTTCTCTCATTACTTGTCCTCAAGCAGACCCTATTATGGTCTAACTAACTAAATGGATCTTCACTCATGGGAAATATGTCTGTGAGACAACCTGAGAGAGACAGAGAAGAGGGAGTCCCCCAAACTGAAAAATGTATGAAGGAAGGCAGTGAGAAGAAGCCATGAGGCAACAGAAACCACAAATGATCAGAAGGTGCAGCAAGAGAATTGAGTAGAGAGGTGCCATTCAGGAAGAGTGCGGGAGGAAGGAGCTTGAGGACCGGGAGGCAGAGATGGAGAATCTGGGTCTGGGGCAGTGGGTGGTAGTGATGATGCTGAAGGTAGAGCAGGGTCACCAGAACTAAGGTCGAACTACTAGAGCAACTGTCCTGTCCTGAAGAGTGGGCTTTCCCAATATAGACCTGAAAAGGGGATTCGGCCTTTGGACCTGATGGACTAAGAGTGGGCCATGAGCAGGCAACTTATTTGCAATCAACACACAAGTTGATCACTAATGAGTCTGAGAGAGGTACTTTTTTATGTATTTTTTTTGAGTTGATGATTGAAGTGTAGGACCACTTAACCACTGAGCTTTTTGTTCCCCGCCCCCCAGAACTTTAAAAAAAATTTTTTTTGAGATCAAGGTCTTCTAAAGTTGCTTAAAGCCTCACTAAGTTGCTGAGGTCTCAAACTTGCAATCCTCCTGTCTCAGCCTCCTTCCCAAGTTGCTGGGATTTCAGATGTGCATCACCATACCTGGCAATATGGTAGGACAAGGGTCCTTAAAGTCAGGGTCTCATACATATTAGGCAAGCCCTCTACCACTGAGCCATATCCCCCAGCCCAAGTTGGTACTTCTTTTGAGGACAAGTAATGAGAGAAAAAAAATTAATTTTGTTTGGCAGGATGGTCCACACGTACTCATTGTATTATTTTTATGCAACTCTGGATGGATGAAATAATGTGAATAATGTTTCAAGACATTATAGGAGGTCTGAAATTTTTTCTTCAAAACAAGGGGAGAGCACATCATCCCAAAGACTGAAAGGAAGAGACAGATCTCTGAAAAAATATTTACTGTGGCATTTGGAAAATTTTCAGGAAGGTTTTCAATGACATCATTAGGATTCTTCCAGTAAGAGCCAGAAAGAATGACTAAGATGAAAAGGTGCTACTAAACTAGGTGTGGTGGTGCACACTTGTAGTCCAGCTACTTGGGAAGCTGAGGCAGGAGGTTTACAAATTTGAGGCCAGCCTCAACAATTTAGCAAGACCCTGTCTCAATATAAAAAATAAAATGGACCATAGGACATAGCTCAGTGTTAGAGCACTTGCCAAGCATACATGAGGCCCTGGGTTTGATCTTCAGTACCACAAAATAAGTTAATAAATAAAATTTTTAAAATAAATAAAAGGGCTAGGGATATAACTCAGTAGTAAAGTACCCCTAGTTTCAACCTTCAGTACAATAAAAACAACAACAAAAAAAGACAAAAGTTGGTCTGACCAGAGATTTCTCTGTAATGCCAAATGTCACAAGACCAAGGAGTGTTATCTATAGCTATGTCAAAAACAAAAAAGTCATGACTCAATTAGTATGTACATGTCCAAATTTATGCCTAGCGTCATATGATCATGTGGCTCTTTGCGTAAAGGACAACAGAACTGCATTTCTGAGAATGTCTGGATTTGGAAATATCACTGTATCTCCTTCTCCTTTTGTGGGAAATTATTTTAACTCACCAGGAGATGAAGTAAAATCAAAACTCCCAAATGGGGAAGTCTAAATCATTTATATAAATCTGGTTGCAGACTTGGATATGTTTCCCTCAAAAAGTTCTTTTAAAGACAGAATATATAATCTCAATTCTAAAAAATGATATTAAGAGTGTCCAGATGTCAATCATTTCTTGCCTGCCATGACCTGAGTCTATTTTAAGAAACTACCACGTAACAGGAAACCCATCTCTCTGTTGGGTTGGGTGGTAAAGTGCTTTCCTAGCATGTGAGAAGCCCCAGAGGGATTCAATTCAGTCCTAAAAACAAACAAACAAACAAACAACCCCACACTGAAACAAAAGGGGAACTTACTGGTTTGGGTAATCAAAACATCTAAAGGTAGATCTAACATGATTGCAGTCTGATCCAGAAATTCAAGGTGTCATCACATTATACCACCAGCAGCCAGGGAATTTCTTCTTGGCTTTCTCTAAAGACAAAGGGAGTTTTTTCTGTTGCCCAGAAAACTTCTCCTTTGCTTGGTTCAGATTCAGTGCCTGTCTCTGACCCAGCACTGTGAACAGGTAACATGCTGAAGTCAACATGCTAATTGACATAAGTCACTCAGGGACCACTCTACAGCAGGAGGAATTCTTCACCACTAAGATAGGAAATTAGGGGAACTATTAGGAAGGAAGAAGTATGGAATGGATAGTGGGGAGGCACAATAAATGTGTCTTCCCAGGGAATCTATCTAAAATTCATGATCCTATATCCCTGGTCATAGCTGAGTAGACCACATACCTGCCCCAGTATATGACAGAGGTGGTGAGTCAGCACCATTCTTATGTTTCTTTGTTTCGAGATGGGGGTCTGGCTGTGTTGCCCAGTCTGACCTTGAACTCCTGAGCTCTAGGGATGCCCCTGCCCCAGCCTCCCAGTAGTTGGGTCTACAAGTGCATGCCACCACACCCAGCTCCATTCTTTTGTTTTTATGTAGTGATATAGACTTTTTAGCTAGGCACATGACTGTTTGGCTAAAGATTATATTTGCCAGATTCCCATGCAGCTAACTGGGGCTTTGTGACCACAGTTGTGGTCTACAGGAAGGGGTAGAAATGGTGTGTTCGACTTTGGTGCTACACTCTAGGAATTAAGCAGGCCTTCACATTTTCCTTCTTCTTGGCTAGAATACAGGTGTGAAGTTGAGCCTTTTGAACCATGTGGATGAAGGGAGCCTCTGGAGATGGTGAAAGAACACTATCCGAGAAGCCTGGATACCTGAATGACCTTGAGGAACACAAGCATTGTTATAACTGTGGTCCACTTGCCTCTTTACTGTTTTGTGAGCAAGAAATAAACTCCTATCTTATTTGAGATGTTGTTAATTTGGGTATCTGTTATAAGCAGCCAAAGTTACATCCTAACTAATGTACAGAGGCAATCCATAAACTGTGTGGCAGGTTGAAAGACACAATTAGATTTGCTTTCATATAGGATGTAAACTGACAATAAAAAATGGGAAATGTGTTAGTTATTTTGGACCTACACTTGGTTACAAGGATGCCATCAGATTGAGTCAGTGCCAGTATTGATTCCTTAAATGTTAACCATATCATGCATTTTTGTACATTTTAATACCTCTGACATGAGGATATATCATACAATGGATTGTGTCTTGTAAACATTGTATATTTTGCCTACATTTGTGAGAATTTGATCATAGTTGTTTGTGTTCTTATCAATGCAACTGAATTATGCATCCTATTGATTTTGTACTTCTTGAGTTAAGATGCAGTTTGAAATGGTCTTCAAGAGGCACAATACCATTTACATTAGCTCTACTGTTAAAAAAATTAAGTGTATGTATATATTTTTGCTTTGTTTTGTTTTGAAATGTGGTCTTGATACATTGCATAAACTGGCCTGGAACTCCTGGGCTCAAGTGTTCTTCCTGCCTCAGCCTCCTGAATAGCTGGGACTATAGCCATATACCACCATGGCTCCAACTAAATGTGTATGTGTGTGGTTTTTTTTTTTGTGTGTGTGTGTACATTCCTAGCACATTAGACAGTGAAATACAATCACATGTCACTTAAACATGGGCTATGTTCTAATAAATGCATTGCTAAATGATTTTGTCATTAGAAGAACAGCATAGGATGTATTTTTTGCACAAACTAAAATGACTGTGACATCACTAGGCAATAAAATCTTATGGGACCACCATCATAGATGCTATCTATCATTGACTGAAACATTGTTATGTGGTATTTGACTGTAATTAGATATAAATCTGATCTAACAAAATATGTATAATATCTATAAGAAGAAGCCTCCAGAACTCCAAAGAAAGAAATCGAAGAACTTTTCTTTTTTTCTTTTGGTACCAGGGATTGAACCCAGGGGTGCTTAACCATTGAGCCACATCCCCAGTCCTTTTTTATTTTTTTATTTTGAGACAGGGTCTCATTAAATTGTTTAGAGCCTCACTATGTTGCTGAAGCTGGCTTTGAATTTGCAATCCTCCTGCCTCAGTCTTCTGAGCTGCTGGGATAACAGGTGTGTGCCACTGTGCCCAGCAGAAATCGAAGATCTAAGTAAACAGAAATATTTCAGGTTCATGGATAGGAGGGCTCAATCTTATTGAAATAACAGTTCTTTTAACTTAATCTATGTATTCAATACAATCCCAATCAAAACTCAACAAGTTTTTTGAGGGTACTGACAAACTGATTCTAGTTTATGGAGAGGCAAAAGACCTAGAATAAACAACACAAGACTGAAAAAGAAGAACAAACTGACTTCAAAACTTACTGTAGAGGGTTGGGGATGTAGCTAAGTGGTAGAGTGCTTGCCTAGCATGTGTGAGGACCTGGGTTCAATTCCCAGTACTGGGGGGAAGAAAAGAAATGAACCATAAAGCCATAAAAAGACATGGAGGGACCTTCAATACTGAGTGAAAGAAGCCAATCTGAAAAGGCTGCATACTGTATGGCTCTAACTATATGATCTTTCAGAAGATACAAAACTATGGAGGAAGTGAAAAGGTGAGTATTGCCAGGGATTATGGGGGGATGGGATGGAAGAATAGACGGAACACAGAGGATTATTTTAGGGAACTGAAATTACTCTATATGACATATATAATGGTGGATTCGTCATATATTTGTCCAAGTCATAGAATGTACAACTCCCAGGAATGAACTCTAATGCAAACTATGGACTTTGGCTGATAATGATGTTATTATAGGTCCACTGATTGTAACAAATGTTCCACTGTGGTATAGTATGTTGATCATGGAGAAGGTTGTGCATGAGTGAGGGCATAATATATGTGGGAACTCTGTACTTTCTGCAATTTTTCCTTTGAACTTAAAACTGCTCTAAAAAGGGAAGTATATGCATATTTTGTTTTGTTTTTTGAGTTGGAGTCTCACTATATTGCATAGGTTGACCTTGAACTCATGGTCTCAAGTATAGCCTCCTGAGTAGCTGGGATTACATGCATATACCACTGTGTCTCTTACTGAAGTGTGTGTGTGTGTGTGTGTGTGTGTGTGTGTAATTACAGGCATGCACCACAGTGCTCAGAATATTATGTTTTAAAATAGAAACAAAAAGCTAATGATGTATTTAGAAAAGAATGAAAACAAAGTAGAGATAAAAATCTGATATTAATAGCCAGACCTGGCAATGTATGCCTGTAATACCAGCAACTCAGAAGTGGAGATAGAAGAACTGTAAGTTTGCTGTCAGCCTTGACAATTTAGGGATACCTTGTCTCAAAACAAAACAAAAAAGGATGAAAGAGAGTGTATGTAGTTTAGTGGTAAAGTGTCCCTAGTACACACACACACACACACAAAAAGATATTAGTGAAGTTGTCAAAAATTTTATTTTCAGTATTGGGGATGGAACCCCGGGGCATTTTACCACCGAGTTACATCCCCAGCCCTTTTTATTTTTTATTTTTGAAACAGGGTCTCCCAGTTGTCGTGACTAGACTCAAACTTGCAACTCTCCTGCCTCAGCCTCCTGAGTTACTAAGATTACCAGATATGCTACCACACCTGGCTTGAAGGTTTCAATTTTTCAATTCTGTGCACACTATTGGTAAGACAAGAACATGCCAGCAACTTGGAAGAACATTCTTGAGAAATGCTGGAGCTGGGTGGGATGGCACACACTTGTAATTCTAGTGAGTCAGTAGGTTTACAAGTGTGAGGCCAACTTCAGCAAGTTGAGTTCAATCCTCAGTATTAAAAAAAAATGGAGGAAGGAAAAAAGGAAGTAAAAAAAAAATCAAAAAGGTAAAGAATCACTGGGCTGGAGGTATAGCACAGGTAGAATACTCTGGTTCAATCCCAGCATCAAACAAACAAAAATGCTGTTTGGCCTTTTCTTTCCTTCTTTTACTTTTTTTTTATTTTATTTTATTTGAGATACTGGGGATTGAACCCAGGGCTTCATGCATGCTAGGCCAGTGCTCTACCACTGAGCCACATCCACAGACCCTGGCCAATGTTTTTTTTTTTTTTTTTTTTCAGGAGTAAGCAGGTTCTGGGGATTTAATTCAGGGGCATTTTACCACTAAGCTACATCCCCCAGCCCTTTTTTATTCTTTATTTTGAGAAAGGGTCTCACTAAGTTGCTTAGAGCCTTGCTATGTGGCTGAGGCTGACTTTGAACTTGTGATCCTCCTGAGTCACTGGGACTATAGGCATGCACCTCTGCACCCAGCCCTGGTCAATGTTCTTGCAGGCACAGAGAACAATATTTGTGTGGAAAAAATTGTACGCACCAGATGTTTTTTTAATGGCCTGAAAGAGTTTTAATTGGCATTAAGATTTAAAAATTTAAATATTAAGAAATAGGGCTGGGGTTGTGACTCAGTGGTAGAGTGCTCACCTAGCATGCACAAGGCATTGGATTCGATCCTCAGCAACATATAAATGTAAAATAAAGATAATGTGTCCACCTAAAACTAAAAAATAAATATATATAAAAAAGAAATAATTGTGTTGTAGTTTAACTGGCAGCATTTTTTTTCCCCCAGGGGTACATAGAATAATGGTGTGTTACAATTGAAGGTATCTTAGATACAGTAAAATTCAGTATCAAGCACATTCTCTGTACAGGCCAAGTTCAGATACAGCACTTGTTTTGACATACTATAGTTTGGGGAGACAGACAATAAACTAGAAATGAGAGACTATGCTAAATTATATGAAGGAAGTAAACAGGATGTTAAGATAAAGGGTGACTGGGGTATGGCTACTCTATTTGGTGGTCAGAGAATCAGAACTACACTTGGACTTGAGCGAGAAGGGCCCCTACCTAACTGCTTAGTTCAAACTTTAACTTGATATACATCTCTGGGGGATTTTGTTGAAATGCAGATGATGCTGATTCAGTAGATTTTGGGTGGAACTAGACAGCCTGCATTGCTAACACGTTCCCAGATGATGCTGATGCTGCTGTTCCAAGGACCACATTGTGGGTAGTAAGAATGTAGAAGGTTCTGCATATCACAAATACTAAAACACAAAGACCCACCTCCTCCAGTCCTGTTTTTGGCCCTGGGACAAAGGTTTTGAAAGTTCAGAAACCAAATGAATCCATGAAATTATGGGAAAGAAATATATGCATTGAAGTAGACCTGAAGCTTAGTCTGTAGGTGTGTGTAGTGGTTGGTGGGTTCCTAGAGCCAGCTTCTGCCTACTCTGCGCCTGCAATTCTGGATTACTCTTGGACTTCTACTGGTATAGAAAAGAGTGTGGCTCCTTCAGCCTCTGAATTGTGAGGACAATTCCACATAAGCAGTGTGGAAATAGTTTGATGTATATTTTCTTGATATGTGGGCCTCTATTTGTGCTGCTGTCCTGGGCTTTATAAACATTTTCAATGGGGCTGGGGATGTGGCTCAAGCAGTAGCGTGCTCGCCTGGCATGTGTGCGGCCCGGGTTCAATCCTCAGCACCACATACAAACAAAGATGTTGTGTCCGCCAAATACTAAAAAATAAATATTAAAATTCTTTCTCTCTCTCACTCTCTCTTTAAAAAAATTTTTTTTCAATGGACTTGCAGGATATAATAATAACTAACATAATAATGGTTGACCAGTAAGCCAGGCAGAGTCTGTCCTAATTATCTTACATGTATTAATTCCCATAATTCTCATAAGAAACCTATGAGAGAAATTGGAGTTATTATCATTGTTCTCATTTTGTCAATAAAGAAATTGGGAAGGTCTGGAGTCTGAGCCAGGCAGCTTGGCTCCAGGGTTGATACCCTTCACCACAATGCTGTCACCTCCACTCAGGGAAGGGAACTTAGTGGGAAAGAACTCGCCATGCGGAACCAAAAGTGACTG